TATCGTCATCATCATCGTCATCTCCATGATCAGTCACATGATCAAGTGTCATCGTAGGGTCGCTGCGCAGGTGATTACCTTAAATGCTCCCCGTAGAAATAACGGCTGAATGCCGAAGAGTTATTCGTTCATGCGTAGGATGTCTTAAGTGATTTTCATTGTCGGAGACAATCTCTCTCCAATAAAACCGCAGTCGATAGCCTCTAATATTCGTACAGCTGGCCGTTGATATCATCTGAAGAATCCAACAACCTGGCTTTTAACTTGATTCTAAGATGCCCTCTGCGCAGCAAATCCTTGTTATCACCGTGCTGGAAATCTGTCGCTCCAATGAGCTCGATTGCCGGTGACCCAACAAGTTGACTCCGCACTTTGATAGATCCTCTTTTTAATTTTGCTGGCTGTTTAGCCCTATTTCTCACTACAAAAGCCTGACGAGGGTGCAGGTTTAGTTACCGATAACGAAACTCAGTGGAAGGTCATCAATTTATATATACACCCCAAACCACGCTTATAGCTCGACAATGAAATTTAGAATTACTAGGTTTTCTGTGAATTGATTTTGGTAAATTATTTTCCAGATGGTTTACACAATATGGAAACACTATTGTTAGCTGTTTATTATTCTATGTAACGTGCTTTAATTTTATTTAAGATCGACAGTTTTTGGTTGAACTACACTGATAGCTTATGAATTAAATTAGCCCATCTAGACACTTTTTGGAGAAAATAAAGAATTATGACACTTATTAATCATACCTTGATTATATATTTAACAGAAAATTATATTAATATTACAAAATTTATTGAAATAATGAATTTTTTGACCACATGAGCGCCATTTCGATAGATAGCGTAATAAACACTATTAGTCATGGAATCAGTCAATATTTTATTGTACCAGGCTGGAATGCCTCTACTATAGCTTTGATAGTCGCCCATATGATATTTTTCGGCTTAAATTAGCGTGCATCGTCATAATTTTTTTTTTAAATGATGGACCAAAGATTATCGATAGAGTTGATATCCGGATAGACAGGCGGCCACACCGTCATTCTTTCACCTTGTGTACCGTAAGAGCCTAGGAATGCTTGGGTGACCCTGCAAGAGTAGGAGAGATCGTTGCCACTCATGAAAACATGAGTCCTTACAAGGGAAATAGGTAGATGATCTAGCTATGTGTGACGCCCCCCGCGGGTTTCGCCGCTCCAAACGTGACATCCGCCCGTCTGCGTCAGTCGTGCTATCCCGTCCTGTGACGACCAACTGGCTTGGTATTGGTCGCGGCACCCAAATGTGACGTTCTAACCTTTTGGTGATTCGGATGGGAACCTGGTTAGATTCGATATCAGCCTCGTCGTTCCCAACTTGCCTCCAACGTCTGGTTACCGAAGTAACTACTTTGATTTCCAGTCTACCTACCCACGTTGATCTTAGGCAGACGAAATCAATCAGTCGTCGCGGCCGTAATGCAAGTCGAGTTCGAATAAGGGCTATATCGCACAAATAGATGTAAAAAAAAAGAAAATAACAACTCGAAAAGTTCAAATGTGTTAAAAAAAAGATAACAATGTTTTATATCTGGTTTCTGGATACAGGACTGCATCTATTTCCCAACCCGCTATATGGATACGTGACACGTTGTTTTTGTTAGGCGATTCTTAACATCTTAAGTTGTCTGTTCTTTAAGAAACTGGTTCTTGGTGTGTTTTCAGGCGATATTCGTAAAACTTGTTTTAGTGGTATGAGTCTAAGTCGTTCTTCAAAAAAATTTTTCTTGGTTAGAAGATGAGTTCGGAATTTTGCGTGAATTTTTCAAGTCAGCTATCTGCGAGGCGGTCTGCCAATTGCCAACTCCAACCGGATCTGGGTCTGGAACTCAACTCCAACTCCAACTGATTTTCGCTCGCTGCGACTTTGCTTATATGGACGTCGGGGTTTGAGGTTCCTTGATAATTCTAAATCCACAGTCCACTCCCCCCCCCTGTATCACATGATCACCTCCGCCTGGCTCTCGTTAACATTCATCCAATGGGCGCTCAGCAGTATGGGTGTGACTAGACTAGCCTTGGTTTCAAGAAAAAAGATCTTGCTCGAAGAAAAAAAAAATATCTGTTCTTTTCCTTTTCCTTTTTCCTTCTTTCTTTCTCTTTTCTTTCGTAGTGTGGTCCCTTAATCGCAGCTCTTATCCTTATGTCACCTGGTACCTATCAATGAGATTTTCGCCAATTAACAAGTAGGTGGTCAACCAGACATACTCACTCTCCGGCGCCAACCACTGATACGATAAAACAATTTCGCCAATTCACAGCCGAATTCATATGGAAGTCGTCAACGAAATTTTCGCCAATTTCTGATAAAATAGTTTCGCTGTCATTGTTAAATTCCAACACAACACAGATGCCTTGTCCAACGACATCTTCCCATCGACAAATACTTAACCTATGTTTTGGTCTTTTGTATTTGCAACTCCTGTGTGGTCAACGGACATCCTATTAAATTTTTATTTCTTTAGAATTCTGTGGAAGCCCCAAATGGCATTCCCGTGACACAGTTAAATGTTTATCTATTTAAAATTGTGTCTCGGAGGTTAGCTGGCCAATCCTGGAATTTGTCAATTAAGCTTTTCGCCGTCACCAAGCTGTTGGCCCGTTAGACGCTTTCACATCCTGGCGTTATCTATTCCCGATAATATAAGTTCGCCACCATGACACAGTTAATTTTTATCTGTTTAGAATTCTCGACAATGGCAATAAAAATTTTCACCATTTTTCCTTGTCAAAATAACACTGCTTAATGTCCCTTTCGTGATGGCTTTTTTTATCATCTAAATTTATCTCTCGCCTTTCTTTTTTGCTTCTTTCCTTTTTCTTTTCTCTTTCTAGCAACCCTAAATGGTGTCACATATGGATCATCTCTCTCTCACTGTCTCTCTCTCACTGTCTCTCTCTCCCTCTCTGTCCCTCAATCATCTCTCTCTGTTCCTCTCTCATCTCTCTCTCTCTCTCTCTTTATTTCTCTTGTACGGACAAGAATACTAACAAAAACTTTGGCGGCATAAATGACTCAAGCTTTATGTTGACCTGAAATAAAATTCATAACTTCGATTCATATATTCTAGAAAATTCTAAAAAAATGTCCGGCTTTTTATACATCTCCAGATAGTGTCTGGCTCCTCCTGTCTTGGTCTAATTTTACCGAAGTTGAATCACCGTTAAAAGGGAATATTACTGCTATATCTGGGCTGAAGTTTTCCAATGTCCACGTTACAGCATTAACATAATTCAAAAGCGAATACGCGAGCCTAGCGTTGACGAATTATTTTCTAACCATTTTCCCACATGGAAAATGTCCAGAGGATATACATTCCTTAGTTCCCCCAGTTCAGAGATTCAAATCTAGGATCAGCCGTGCCATGTAGGGACGCCGGCTCGCAATGATGGAAAAACTCGAAGAGTGACAATGACAACATTTTACCTACGAATTTTGAAAATATCATGAACAGAATATATATGCAGAATAATCGATATAAAAAGAGTGAGAAACAGAATCAATTGAAACTATTTCTAAAATCGGAAAGAAAATGATGACATGAGTTTTTTGACAAAATGAGGAAAGGACACTTGAAGAATTTAACTTTCACAGGATACATTGGAAGCACGAGAATAAAAAACGAGCAACCGGCGTCTCATACATATTTATAAATTTGGCATTTCTCCTTGCTTTGAATATTGCTGCCATATCTAGTCTGGTACTCCTGCTATATATTTAGAGATTCTTGATAAAATCCAAATAAGAATCAGCAATATTATTGGCCCTGAGATGGCATCTTAGTTTCAGTCATATTCCCCACCACCGTAACGTGGCTTAGTTATGACATTTCTATAAATACATACGTGTTAATTGTTCTTTCCTCTATGGTAGCTATATTTTATGAATTTAAAGCTCAGTACTAGATTGGCTGTAAGGTCTCATCATTTTACAGTTGAAATGGCTAGATGTAACCGGAAGTTCTATGCTAACAGTTTCTTCTCTCAGACTTCTTACTTGTGGAACTCACTTCCGGTTTCTTTCTTCTCATTCAGCATTGATCTTTTAAAATGTTATTACAATGTCAATCGTTATCTACTGTCTTCCTAATATTTATTCCTTTATTGTCTTCTCTCCTTAATACTATTCTTTTTTTCGTTTTTTTTACCAGATTCGCTACTAGGCTGAAATTCCCTGCGTCTTAGTGACTTTATTGACTTGGTTGGGGTGAAATGATCAAATTAATTTAAGCAAATGGTACCAGGTACAAATAACTCAAAATGACTTCCTTAATGACGCTAATATTGATACATGCCGCAAAAGTGATGCCGTGGAAAGCCCTGAACAGCCAAGTCATAAAGTTATATGGGAAAGAAAAACAAAAGAGATATTAATACGTAGACGATGAGGTCAGGTCAGTCTGATGTATAAATTTGTCTACAAGACTCACTTTCGCTAGGCTAACTCACAAGAGAGCCTTCTTTAAATTGGACATTTTAATGGATATACTCCGTGAAGGACTTAAATAAATAAGACATTAATTTGTTTGTATAAACTTTATTGTACAAGTTACATTTTATAATTTCTTCTGTTTATACAGATTTTAAATTTATTTTTACTTTTCTTTTTTAAAAAAAAAAAATAGGGCAGTAATGTGACTTCCTTTTATGTTGCAATGAATAAACACAGCAAACCAATTCACTTTCCTCGTCATATAAGACGAGTGGGTAAGTTGGATGTTTTTTTTAATCCGAGCTTTTTTTTTCGTCTTTCATTTTATTTCTTTATTTGAACATATTATCTAGTTATCTATTTACTTGCTATATTTAGGCAAAGTCAGAAACTAATCGCTTGTATATGATAATTATCGTTCCTACAGTGTCTGCTTTCACGGGCTTTTTTTTCCAAATGTTAATTACTGATTCTGTTTTCCAGCAGACGTTCCGAAATTGCAGTTATACGATCATTTAATGGGTTTCACCTCTTCTTCATTATTCACTTTCTCGCTTTCTCTATCTCGCTTTCTCTCTATTTATTTCTCTCTATTTCTTTCTCTCTGTCTTTATCTCTCGCTTTCTCTCTCTCTATCTATAATTTTCTCTTTCATTCTTTCTCTATATTTTTCTCTCTCTTTCTCTCACTCAGTCTCGATCTTTATTTATCTCTCTCTTTTTCTCTCTCTCAATTTTTCTCTCTCTCACACTTTTTTTTCTCTCTCTATCTTTGTATATCTCTCTGTTTCTCTCTCTTTCTGATTAACATTAGAATAGTTTCCGGGGAGCTGATTCGCTTTTCAGTTTTCTTTTCATACGTCTTTTGTTTTCTTATTTTCCCCAAATCTTTTTAACTCTCTTCGTTTTCCTCTCCCTTATTTTCGTCGTAATCTTTCCAATTCCTCTTTCGTCCATTGTGTCGTTGTTGCCTTTTTTTTCCTCGTTCACTTGTTTTCGTGCATAAGACTTTACGATAGGTTCTTGCAAATGACACTTATTCTTTCAGAAACGCTTTCCTTAAAGCATGACCTCTGACTATTCTTTTCTAATTCATTTTAAGTGCATTTTGTTGAGTAAGAATAATCTACGTGTACAGATAGTGAAAATCGGCTCAGGAATGTGCAACCTGTAAGCAATATTCAAATGACGGTCGACTCAATTGTGTTTACTTACGACATAATGCCCACTCTACAGCAAGTGGCTAAATAGTGTGATAGACTGAACAGTCTATGTTTTGTGGAAGCCAGTCTAAGAGAAGGACTCACATTATTTTCTTACTTATTGTCATTGCTTTTGTATAATAAAATAATTTAGGATGCACAGATACTGCAATGGTTATAGGTTCATAAAGTTGACTTAGCGAGCCAAATACAATTTCTGGTCTAGTCATCGGGATAATACTCTTGAGATAGACATGAATCTTTCATTTCAGACCACCTGCTGTGGCGTAAATAAGCTGATTAGACTGTATTCTCCAGATGTGGGTGTCAATCAGCCTCAGAGATGCAACGTCCATCATTCAAACAATGGAGACAGCAAATGGGGAGGTATTGCAATTCATTGTTAATAGAAAAATGTCTGTGGTAATTATGACGTTCTAAAAGATATTGATATTAAAACAAGATTACTTCCTCAACATTAATAAAATCATTTCAGTATATATATATATATATATATATATATATATATATATATATATATATATATATATATATATATATATATAAAACTTGTAACCACTGTCTTTATCTTTTGCTCCTCCTAGACTTTTTGGAGATAGACCCTCGTAACCACATATATATTGAAACTACATTACTCAGGGTACTTGGATGAGTATATTTCGTTTTGATCAAAAACCCTTCACTTGAATTTTCCCTTTGATTTAATTTAAATTTAAATTTCAGCAAGGAAATTACTCCTAGGTTACTTGGATAAGTATATTTTATTTTGATCAAAAGGGATCCTCGGGCGACATAAATCGCCTTTGAATTTTTTTCCGTTTAATTTCGATTAAATTTAAATTTGAACCAGTAACTGACTCCCATCCAAAATATAGGAGGAGAAAGCCAGAAGATGGAGGTCACATCGGCAAGATCATTAAGTAATAATGAAATGCATCATTTTTTCTCCTCAAATAATAACAATGATATTAAAATCAATCATCATTTTTTTACAAAGATGTATGACAAGCAGCAAATCGTTTGTAATTCGGCTAGTACAATTGTTATACTGGAACACACTTATTCTATAGTTAATAGACTCTCCCACCTATAATAAGTAGTAGTAGTAGCAGTCGCCAGTGAGATCAGAGAGTTGGTGAGTCAGTCGATATCGGACATTAAAGTATCAACCACCACAACTAGATTGCTGCGCCATTAACTATTATATCACGTTCCTAACGTTTTGCACGTCGAACGTTTTTAGGACCGACTTAGTACGAATACAAGCTTCCACTGTGAAACTGCTCTATAACAACAATATATATACAAGAGTCGCTCCGAAAATCGTGACATAAATTATTATGATATCCCACAATGTTGGAGGATGAGGCTAGTTTTATAAACATGCAGGGACATTACATGGATAAGAGATTAAGTAGTCGATAGGTAATTCATTTCTACATTGACCACAGAGATATTTTCTAATTTCTCAGTAGCCTTCCTCAGAGCTCTAAACGAGCGAGGAGGAGATGAAGTCTAATGAGAGTATTCTTATTTGGTTCTCCATGGGCTCACCACATCTCTCTGCATCTCTGTCGTAGTGACTACTGTCTTCTATAGAGCATTGTTGTTTGTCTTGTCATCTCTTTTGAAAAGCAATTTATTTTCATTCAGTGACTTCCTTTGTCCGAGTCGCTTTCCTTGTACTTGTGAAGTCCACTTAACCCTGCTGATAACAATCTGGAAAATAATTATCCGAATTCATTTTTGTCACAAATCAGATATTTTCAAAATTTCCCCTGTCCCTTTTTATAATGTCCATTTAATTCCATTTTAAAGATTTTTCGTTGTTTAACCGCTTCGTTTCGAGAAACACATACTGGATTCCTCAATTCTCCTCCTTATTTGAGAATAAATTGTTGGTTTATAGGCTGGTTAGTTGGTTTTCTTTAGCATCAACCTCAATAGGTTATTTAATGCTGAAATCTAAAAAAAAAAAATTGAACACAATTTTATTGCTTTAAATAATATATTTTGAAAGCAATTGTATGACTTAAACTATTGATAAAAGGTATTGTTGATCATTTTGCTATATAATCTATTGTTGGAAATTTTACTATAAAAAGGTATTGTTAGTAAATATTTATATAAAAATATATTGCTGGTAATTTTATACTTCGATACTTGTTTGTGTTTATTTGTGGGTTCACTATTTGGACATAGCTAGGACCCTAACACGTTCCACTCTACCTTGAGAAGATTGTCTAGTGTTTACAGGAGGATAGATAATGCATAGTAATTCAACATTTTTTTCGTTAATTTTTTTTTAAGAAATTTCCTTTTATGAAGACATTTGTAAAGACTTGGTTGGCTGTTTTCATTATATCAATGGGCTTTCGGATTTCATTAACTATTTTAATGTATTTTCTCTTCTGTTTAAGCTTTTTCGTTACTCTTTTTAATGTCAATTTTTTTTAAATTTTCTCCTTTAGATTATCTTTATCTTTCTTTTCCCTATTTTTCATCTTCTTTTTTTTCACTCCAACCTCTTGCCTTATATCTGCGTTTCTCCTTCGTTTTCTCTCCTATTTTCTTTCTTCGATTTCTCATATCTTTCTTTTTAATTTTTTTTTCGATCTCTTTTTATTATTCGTTCCTCCTTTATACTAATTTCTTCTTTTATTTCAAATCTCGTTTCTTCCTCTTTTATTTTCACTTCCCCGTCCCTCATAATTCTTTTTCTTTTCTATTTCTTTTTTTCTTTTTTATTTTTTTGCTTCATTATATACATTTTCATAATTACCCCCTCACAATTTTTCATACTTTTTCATGTTTCTACATTTTATTTCATTTAAATTAAAATATCCAATCATTTTCTTTCTCGTTGTGTATCTTTTTTCGCTTTAATAATTGTCATATTCTATTTCGTTTTCCCTTTCTCTTCTTTTCATCTTGATCTGTTACAATTTTTGGATACATTATGTAACTAGTGAGTTAGCCCAAATGACTTAACTCAATTTATAGTCCACCAATAAAAGGTTAACCAATCAGAAGACGTAGAATATTCAATCCGTCGTGTATAAAGGCGGCCATTTTGTTTACTCTACCCGAATGTCCAGTTCCAGCTTGTCAAGCGAAGAGAAACAGAAGGACGAAATACGCTCTGCTACTTTTTTTTTTTATCCACTGCTGACCTGAAATACGCTTCCCTACTGTCTTCGAAATATTCACTGCTAACCTCTGGATTCTATACTCGAAGACAACCGTTATCATGAACAACATGATCTACATCACCTTTCTCTATTTTCACAGTCCAGCATCTTTCTTTTTTCCTTTCTTTATTTCTTTTTTTTACTCTTGAGTTTATCCTTCATCATCTTATTTGCACTAATTACATGGCAACTATAGCCCTCATCCTCGTTATCATAAAGTTTTGGCCGTTGTACCCTCCGGACTTCATTAGTTGTACATCGATCCAGATAACCTACAGGGAATTTTGAACAGAACCCTTTATTTAATCTATGTGGGTAGATTGTTCTCATTCTGCAGTCAATTTCTGGGGATTTCTCGTCTGGTTCGAATTTTAGTACTGTACAGTTATTGCTCGCACTGTTTCCACTGAATCAAATAACACTCTGCCTTGCCGAGGGACTGAACTCAAAATTACTCTGTCGCCAAATTGACGAACGAAAGTTTTAATCCATTAAAACATATGTTCCGTGGGACAATTCTGTCGGGAGAAGTTAAAGATTTTATCCACTTCTTATCTTGTCTTTGCCATTTGCATATTCTTATTCCTGTTCTTGTTCGTGCTTTTCATCATTCTTCTTCCATTATTCCTCTTCCTTTTCATCCTTCTTCTTCCCCCTCATTCTTCTTCTTCTCTCCATACTGCTGCTACTACTACTACTACTACTTCTACTATTACTACTACTACTACTACTGATACTAAATACTTCTTCTTCTTCTGCTTCTTCATTTGATTCTTCAAACCTCGTGTTCCATTCCCTCATTTTTCTTCTCATCATTCTTCTTCCTCTCCTCCTCTCCTTTCTTCTTATTCTTCTTTTTCTCCTCCTCCTCATTCTTCTTATTATTATTATTCTTTTCTTACTAAGTCTTTTTCTCTTTCTCCTATTCTCCCTCATCCTTTTTCTCCTCTTATTCCATCTTATTATTATTATTATTATTATTATTATTATTCTCCTCCTTATTCTTAACTTTCCATTTCTCCTACTTTTCCTTCTCCTTTTATCCCTATGCTTCATTTCATTAATTACTGCAGTTTCAATTTATGCTTCATAATTACATATGTCTGATTTTATCCTTATCTCTTCTTATTTTTATTCATTTTCCTTTTCTTCTTCTTCTTCTTCTGTTGCTTCTTCTTCTGTTTCTTCTTCCGTTGCATATTTTTCTTCCTCTTCTCCATCTTCTTCTTCTTCTTCTCCTTCTTCTTCCTCTTTTCCTTCTTCTTCTTCTCTTTCTTCTTCTTCTTCATCTTCTTCTGTTTCTTTTGCTGCTGCTTATTCTTCTTCCAATTCTACTGCTTCTTCTGTTGCTTCTCCTACTGTTTCTTCTGTTGCTGATGCTTCTTCTTTCTCTTCTCCTCCTTCTTCCTCTTTTCCTTCTTCTGCTTCTTCTTCTTCTTCTTCTTCTTCTTCTTCCGTTTCTTCTTCCGTTTCTTCTTCCGTTGCTTGTTCTTTCTCTTCTCCATCTTCTTCTGTTGCTTCTTCGTTTTCCTCTTTTCTTTCATCTGTTTCTTCGGCTTCTTCTTCTTCTCTTTCTTCTTCTACTTCGTCTTCTTCTTTTTCTTCTTCTGTTGCTTCTTCTGTTTTTTATTCCGTTGTTTCTTCTTCTTCTTCTTCTTTTTCTTCTTCTTCTTCTGTTCCTTCTTCTTCTTTAACAATATAATTAAATTATTCATTTTCTAATTTTACTTGTCTTCATATAAAGCATTATCTACCTGTTGAAGAATTTCTTTTTCGGTTTCTGTTTGGTTTATGCATTATTTTATTCGTATCCTCGTCAGAACTTTACATTCCATCAGCCTCAGACTACGCTGCATGCATTAAACACCACATGTCTTTTTTCTCCAAATACGTTCAGTCAGATTCATAAGTTATGTATTAACAATACCAAAATAATCTTCGCAATAATTCCTCTTCTTCGCGAATGATCAAAATAAACATTTCGGGTCTTTTTCATAACTTAATTTCCTTTCTGGTTATCAAATATCTTTTGAAATGCTTAACACAGTATTTTCGCCTAGCAATGAATAGATATTGAGGATTGCGTTTAATATTTCTCAACACATCCTTCCCATTTCACTGGCTTTAGACACTACGTTTAATTCGAGATTCTTAACAAATTTATTGAGCGCCTGCTGTAGTCCCAATTCGAAACACTCAGGATCTTTTATTTTAATACTAAAATCATTTATAATATTGTTCTGCACTGAAACATATTTTAAACAGAAATGGAAGTTCATCCCTTTTTTCCTTTTTAGAATCGGGTTTCCGGTTCCTTCTAATGTCTGTTCCTTCTCTTTTACTTCCGGTTGCCCCTTGCATCTAACTGGTATTATTAACTTTCTTGGAACGGGATTTTTTACTTTGTAACCTTCTACCGCGATTGGCTCTTTGGCCTTGTACTTGGTGAAAATCGTTTGTAAAAAATAGTTTTTGGCTGACTGTTTTTTTTTTGTTTAACGGTATTTCAACTCCTTATTATAATGCCGAAATTTAATTTTGGGGAGAATTTGCTATTTTTTTCACTATTAAAATCGACTGTTTGTATTTTTACTATAAAAATGTATTTTTATACTTTCATAGTATATTCATCCCAGTTTGTTCACTATTTTTTCATAGCTGGGACACTAACAAGTGTCATCACCTCGTAAAAATACCAATGGCAAGCACTACATCTATAATATACCGATCAGTTACAACGAATCTAGTATACGAGTTAAGGAGCTTGTATATAGATTAGACTGGGTTGAATGTAGTTTTTTTTTTCTAGCACTGTAAAATGGTTCAACACGAAATCAGTAACCTGAGAAATCGCGCCATATTCTTAAATAGCCTCGTTACATCGCGACGTTCATATGGATGTCAGGCATGGCGCTTATCTCATTCAGAAATATTTACCGTAATTCCCCATATACCTTCATCCATAAAACGCACCACACAAATTGTGCTGAAAGTGTGTTAACGTGCTTCTACTCACGCATAATACGCACCTCTTGTTTGGTAATCAAACCCTATAAATTGTACCTCTCCTATATCATTACGGTCAGCGTTTCCTACTCTTATTAAAAATGTTTTTAAACAGAATAATATGATTCTAATTTATTGTTGTGATAATTCTTATTTTATTTTACATTTGTAAGTATTGTTAGGCACATATGAATGTATCTGACATCCTTATGGGGTCGCAATCGCCGAATGTTAGTTTCAAATTGTTATATGTTTGTAGGGAATAGTCATTTCGCCACTGGGATCGACTCATGAAACAGCATTTTTTAAAGATCTTTTGTAGCTGTGTATAATACGCACCCCTAATTTTGCTTATTATGTTTAGAAAAATGTCGTATTATACACGAGGAATTACGGTAAACCGCCGTCTGTATACACACACTTTTTCCTATGGATGATTTACATATGACTTGGGTCTTGTGCCAGACTGGGTTAATGATTACATCCGGGAAGTAATTTAATCTCGCAGACCATATGCGAATTTTTTCATTTTTGTCCGTTCCAGTTTACTCTTCAAAGCTAATTTAAGAAAATTTTAAAATGAAACCTCGGCTATGGATCATTGAATAATTTTGTCACTGATGCAGTAAGTGCTAACACATTTCAAAATATTTTGCAACATTCATCAAAGAGGACTTTGAGATCAAGCAGCGATAATTTTCTGGAAGAGTGCAGTAGTCGAGTACTCGGTGATCTTTCGAAAGAAATAGTACAAAAAATCAAATATTCTCTGTAACATAGCACTGAATCTATCAGCCGTTGCGTATGTGTGTCTGAAAATCATAATCCCAGAATAATGTGGGCTTTCCAAATTCTTCAATTATTCTACAAGACACATGCTCGTTCTTATTTTCTGAATCTTAGTAGGCATACTTTCGGCACAATAACCAATGTAAATTAAAGCATGCATTAGAATGGCCCTTCTTATGTTCATTTTAGAATAACATTTTCGAGCCAATTATCAAGCGAGTCACATTCTCAGAGTGCTCACCACAAAGTCTACATTTTGGAGTGATTGATGCTTTTGTTAATATTCTGTATGTGGGATGTGATGGCATTGGTAGCGAAGGTTCTGTCTTGGGCAGCAATTAACCACCTTTCAGTTACATGTTTCAGATCACCACGTCTCACCCATATTCACATCTCAGCTGCTTTCTCCTTCACATATTGTGTATCTCTCTCTCAAACAAGTCATGCAATCTCAATCCTAGGAAATAATAATAATAATAATAATAATAATAATAATAATAATAATTATTATTATTATTATTATTATTATTATTGGCTTTGATTTCTGGTGTGCAATCATTTCTTTCCGGGTTCCGCCCAGAGAACTAAGGACAGAAATGGCATCATGACAACCCCCGCCCCCAAACACATAGTTTACATAGATAAAGCCTTTCCTAATATGTG